AGGCATAATTATTCCACCAGCCCTGTCGCTCCTCTCTAACCAGCTCCAGGGGCCCAGGTCCAGGCGGGGAAAGCGGCCTGGCCTGGAATCAATCGTTGGTGCACCAGGATGGTGGAGGGAGTGGCTCCAAATTACCTCGCCAGCACCGAGCTTCTCAGCCTCTGCAGGGACGCAGGGGGCTTGAGGGCCACCTGAGGGGACTTTGCTAAGGCCCAGGAGCCACCTTGCTCAGCCACCCCCCATCACTCACTCAATGGTCAAGAGCAATCAGGGAGGACTCCCCAGGAGGTGGGAATGAAGGAAGAACAAATATACATTTTTTTCATCCAGTATTCAGTCCCCAGCTCACCAAACTCTTATTAAGTACTCACCAATGCCAAGCCCCAGGCTGGACCCCAGGGTGTGGAGACAGGGTTTTCAGGGGGCTGCACATTATTAAGATAATGAAACACAAGCTCTGTCCCTCTCCCAAGCCAGGACCACCCCTGCCCATCCTGGGGGTGAACACAGAACCATTGGGGTTCCTTGGGCTCTAATTGTGCAGGACGTAAGCTCTCTTTGCTCCTCCTTCATCTCCCCCTTCCCTGGGGAGTCCTCCTGAGTGCCCTTGCCCATCCCTGAGCTCAAGGCTTATAGAAACAGCACCCCCACTAACTGGGGAATGCTGAGGGACAAAAGGGACAATCGCTTCCTAAGCATCTGTAACACACTGGCTGCTGCCCATCTCAACCCCCATTTCCTATACCAGAAACCCTGAATTCTGGAAATGCAAATCAAGACCATAAGGTAACACCATTTTACACTCAATCAATCAGTGAAACCAAGACGGCTGACCCCACCAAGCACTGGGGAGGGTGGGAGCTATGGAGACACTGGTCTCCTGCTGCAGGAAGCATAAATGGCCCAACCAATTTGGAAAACACTTTGGCACATTTTTTAGGAAAGCTGAATATGCATATGCCCTATAGCCCAGCAATTCCGCTCCTAGCTGTGTGCCCCAGAGACACTCTGCACGTTGCCTCAGGAGACAGGACAAGAATGTTCATGGCAGCATTGTTTGTAAGAACCAAAAGGGGAACAAGCCACATAGAAGAATGATAAATACATGGTGGTAGGTTCAAATGGCAGAACGTTATGCACCAGTGAAAATGAATGAACTATGTCTTCCATCATTTACAACAACATGGATGAAGCTTATGAATATGATGTTGAAGGGGGGAAAAAAAGCAAATTCTAGAGGGCTGCATCTGGTTTCAGGTTCTTTTTACAAAGTTCAAAAGCAACCCAAACTGAACAATTTCCATATATTAAAATACATGATTTTAAAAAGGCAAGGGAATGCTAACTAGATAGGATAGTGGCCGTCTCAGAGAAAGAGGCCAAGGAATAAAGTGAGGGGAAGCTCATGGGAGATGTACACCATTGTTAGAGCACTAGTGTTCAGGTTGGGGAGCAGTACTGCCATATTTGTAATATTATTATTATCACTAATGCTAAAAACATTAATCAATTACCAGGCCATGCCCAGATGAGTGAGCCCTGAGCCCCAGGGGTCAGGAGGAAGGCATTCTAGACCACGCTTATGAGCTGGGAACTTTGGGCAAGTCATTCCACCTCTCTGGCTCTCTCCCTTTTCTCAGCTATAAAATCAAATCTCTGTACCAGCTACAGGGAAAAGACTAAGAACACATCACCAATATAAATTATGAGTAGCTAGCGTTTCTTGGGAGCTTACTGTGTACTGGGCGTGGTTCTAAATGCTTTGCATATATTAGCATACTTAATCCTCCTGCTGGCCCTAGAGGTAAATACTCTTGCTTTCCTCACTTTATGGGTAAGACTGAGGCCTGGCGAGATTAAGGAACTAGGCAGAGGTGGAGCAGAGGTCTGAACCCAGGCATCTGGCTCCAGGGTCCACACTCAGTAAGTTCACTACAAAGTGACATTAAAGGAACCAAGTACACACGAGGAGGAGGTTGTTGTCAGCACAGCTCTCCTGGGCCCACAGCACCCAAGGATGGTCATTCATTCGCACAATGCATAAACAAAAGTCACTATCAAGAATGCCTCAAATGCATTTGGAAATAAACTTGCCTTACCACACTCTTTTTACTAAGAACCCTTCCAATTATGGAATCCCCTGTTTTCTGTGTCTCTGCAAAGTCTGCTACCACCTGAGGACCCACTCAGTCTCTCTCTTTCCGGAGGACCCCTGACTACTTCAACCTCCCCCAAACAAATCCCATCCTTCTCTGAGTGCCTGGGTGTGCTACTAAGTATACTACCTGGGCACCCTTGACGTCACTTAGCTCTGGCCATCCATACAGGCAGAGGACACTGTGTCCCCTCCAGGTGGTCCTTGCCACCAGCCAAGAGCTGCTCCCCAGTGCCACCCAGTGTCTTCCTTATCCTGGGGGCCAAGCAGGGGAGCCCAGCGGGTGGGTACATGATTCCCCAGGGTTGAACGTTCAGGGTAATCCACGGAAGCCCGAAGAGGGCCTAGTCCAGGGCTAAACAGACAGCTCAGCCAGGATGTGTAGAATAAACACATGAATTAATTGGCTGGTACAATATTAAGTACAAACCAGTGCGGGTCTTCACTGTGGGTGCCTGGAGGTGGAGGATCAGTAATTTGGAGCAGTCGGGGAGACTTCCCTGAGTAGAGGCGAGGAGAAGAGGGGAGGGCCTCTGGGTAGGGATGTTGGACCAAGATAGGCGATAGGGGGATAGGTAGAGGAACTGGTAGAAGAGAACAGAGATCCATCAATGGGTAATCACTGGGAAGGGGGGAGGAGACCCTGGGACTGGAAGGCACCATCTGTCCACAGAGTGCCACACAGAGGACAGCAGAACCAAGAGACCCTGGCTAACAGGCTAAGGCTCCGACTTTGAAATCACCATCGTCTACTGCCTCCCCTCCCTGGCCTCTCACTAGCCCCACAGGACCATCTGACACACTGCCTCGTGCCTCCACGGGACCCTGTGTAAATCACTGCAGTGCCTCACTTCCCCACAGGACTGCACCCTTGGCCCCAGTTGTGACCCTCCAGCCATCTGCTCTGGTAGGCACCTGGAGATGGTACCAGATGAGCCATCCCTGGTACCAGGGATCCTGTCTCGCTTTATGCTGAACAAAGCCCCACACACAAGAGGGTTTTGGGTCCTTTTTTTTTTTTTTTTCTGGTGTCTCTCTGAAATTCTGAGTTTTAGAAAACAGTATCTAGTAAAGGGCAACATGAGTGCTCAGAGGCAGGGGGTGCAACAGCTGACCACTAGAATCAGAGGACTACCGCAAGGGGCACAATAGTCTCTCCACTTCCCTCCAGGCACACAGGGCCCTCTGCCCACAAGCCAAGATTCCTGGGCTTTGAGCACACACCCATCCCCCCAAATCTGGCCCCTGGGATTGAGGACCTTCTCTAACTCCAGGCCCTGGGGAGCCCTGCAGCCTTGACCAAGCTCTACCCAAGGCCAATCTCATGCTTAAATTGGCAGGAGGTGGGGGAGGGGACGGAGACAGCAAGCACATCACAGGGGGCCCGCCCTCACCTTTGCTAAACGCCCCTCTAGTGGGGGCATCAGGTGCTGCCAGGAGTCCCTACCTGGGTTCCAAGGAGTTCTTGGCCTCTCCCCTCTGCCACTTCATCCTCTCTCTCCTGCCTCAGGCAATGGGGAGAAAGCAGGCAAGCTGTCCCAGCACAGCACAGTCCCTGGTCCCACCCGGCAGACCAGGTCCACACAAGGACAAAGGGTGACCCTCCCTTCCCTCACCCGCACTCCTTGCTGGATGTGGAGAAGCCCCAGGCGCTTTGCCGCCTGGGTGCCCCGGCTCATTGCTCCCTGGGCATGGGAGACACCAGTGTTGCGGCTGTGGGCATAATGACCACCAGGGCTGAGCCCGGAGCGTGGGCCAGGCTGGGTTGCGCACCCTCAGGCTGCCCAAGCCAAGCAAAGGAAGACTGATGGTGGGCTGGGCTGGCCCCTGGAAGGGGCTAGCCCAGATGGTACTGCCCCCCACCTCAGGGCAGGTGGGGCAGGGCACCTCCCACATGCCCCTTCTCCCCCACCCTGAGCCCAGGACCTCGGAGAACAAAGGGGATGCCTCCAGTAAAACCAGGGCTGAATGGGGCTGGGCTGGGACCCCGGTCAGGAACAGGGAGGGGACAGCCCACTGGGCCTGGCCCCACCCCTCCCCAAAGTGGAAGCCACCTGGAGGGACACATCTGGGGCGGCGGGTGGGGGGGGGGAGCTCGGCCACCTCACAAGAGGGTGGGGAGGCAGAATAGGACGCTCCCTTCTCACCTCCCTTTTCTCAGCTGGTCCCCACCTCCCACCGCCTGCCTGAGAACGAAAAGTGGGGCAGGAGGAGGTGAGAAACCGGGGCCGGAGACAGACAAAGGGAGGCCCCTAAAGGGTTCCTGAGTCCTCCACAACCCCAACTCCCTCCCCTGCACTCTCCCCACCCCCCAATTCCCCTTTCCTCCCTCTCCTCGGGCCAAAGCAGGAAAGGGGCTGCTCTTGTCAGGGGAGGGAGCTGGTGCCCAGGCTGAAGGCTGTAGAGAAAACTGGTCCCAGACCGGCATCCACCAGCGAGCCGGTGCCTGGTGCTGGCCAGGGCTGCCTGGCGGTATCTGGGATCTGTGGAGAGGTGCAGCCACCCGCTGAGCAAGGGGCTTACCGTCCAGGATGAATAGCGCTCAGAAGGGAGGGGGCATGGGGCGGGGGGGGTGGGGGGGCAAGCACGGCTGGGACCCTGGCGAGTCCGCCCTCCACAGCTCCGGCGTCCCAGCTAGCCAACATGGAATTTGGTGGGGTGGGAGGAACGAGAAAGGAAGAATCTTCATTTCTGAGGCTTGAGGAGGGTGCGACCCCAAAGGGGAATCTGGTGGCGCTGGGGTGCCCCGCAGCCCCAGGAGGGCGCAGCCGGGCCAACGGCGGCCCCCACGGGAGCTCGCCGCGGGGCTGCCCGCGCGGGGCTGGGCCGCGGCCGCCGGGCTCACCTGCATCTCGGGCGCACCGTCCGTCCGCTCGGCTCGGTCACCAATCGCATGTCTTCCCCGCCGGGCTTCAGCCCCTGCCCAGCCCCCTCCTCCGTCTCCTCCTCCTCGTCCGACACCTCCGCCCGGCAGTCCGCGCGCCCTCGCGGGGCTGTCTGTCCGTCTGTCTGCCCCACGCGGGTGGGACCCGAGCCGGGGCCGGGGCAAGGGCGCGGGAGTGGAGAGGCGTGAGGCCGCGGCCCCGGCGGGCGGAGGGGCGGGCGCGCTCAGGGCGCGCGATGCGGACTCGGCGAGTCTGGTTCTGCGCCCCGAGCCGACCTGGAGCCGCCGCCACCGCCGCCTCTGCCGCTGGGGCCGGGGTCGAGGCCGGGCGCGCTCCGCAGCGGGGCCGGGGCCAGGGCTGAGGCCGGCAGGCAGCGGCCCCGCATGCTGCTCGGAGCCCCGCGGCGGTAGAGGGGCCGGAGCGGCGCGGGTGGGGACTCCGCGCGCTCCGGGCCCGGGGCCGGGACCCGCCGCCGCTGCCACCTGCGCTGTCGCCGGTCGCCCGCTCCGGCTCCCGCACCGGCTCCCGCCCGGGCTCCGCGCTCTGCCGCGGCGCGGGGAGGGAACGCGAGGAGCGAGGAGCGAGCCGGGGAGGGAGGAGGGACCGAGGGAGGGACCGAGGGAGGGAGGGAGGGAGCAAGGAGCGGCGGGGGGGGGGGGGGGGGGGAGGAGGGGGCGGCAGAAAAAGGGGGGGGGGGGGGCCGGGGGCTCGTCTTCTTTCAGCGGAGGGGGCGGAGAGCGAGGAGCGCCCCAACCACTGCCCTGCACCGATGGGGCAGCGAAACTGGCAGAGGGGACGCTGGCGAGGGGCGCGCCAGGCTCGCGCCTGAGCCTGTGCCCCGGAGCGCCACTCCGCACCGGCCGCGCCCCTCCGAGTCCCGAGCTCTGGGCGAATCCCGGGCTAGGCCGACCCAGGGGAGTCCGGACTACGGTCCTCCCTGAGTTGCACACACAGAGGGTGCACGCACCCTCTTGTGTGGCCACATGCGTGTGCACGTGAGCGCGTGAATGTATTCACACGTGTTGACCAGGGTCATTGCACACTGCCGTGTGGACGGACACACGCACGTGAACGGGCAAGGCTCCCCACCCAGCCAGGGTTGTTTGGAGGACGGCGTGGGAAGGGTCAGGCCCGGAGCCTCTGTCCTGCCCCTCTTCTCCAAATGTCCGCGAATCTCTGTAGGGCCCACACCCTGGGGGCCTTGGGGCCAGGCAGGCAGAGAGGGCAGCTCCGGGGGGGACCGAGAGGAAGGCGCCCCAGCTCGGCGGCTTTACCCCAAGCGGGGTCTTGCCCGGCCCTTTGCAGCCCGGATCCCCGCCCAACCCGGCTTCCTGTCCAGCAGAGGGCAGCAGGCCGCTATGGCCGGCTCCGGCCACGGGCACGGCACCCACGCACCAGCAGAGGGCAGTGAGGAGCCTGAGTCTGGGTATAGCTATCCCTCACTTTGATCCCAGTGATCCAGAGGATCCTGGGCTAGGGCCACACACTCAGATGGGCCTAGAGAATGGGACCTCTCCTCAGAGAGCCAGATCCTCCTTGATCAGCAAATAGGGAGGATCAACTGTCTTGGCAGTCTGCAGAGTGGACTACCACCGTTAGGATCTCACCTCCTTCTGCGTCCCCTCCATCTCCTTGAAGCCAGATGCCCTTTAACACTAAGTTAATTTGATTAGAATAACCATCAATGCTGACACCACCTGGCACATTCCACCCTTCTCCACTACTGAGAGTGCATCCCATTAGCACATTAGTGCTCCTGACACCGTGAGCCCACAGGGTAGGGGTTCTGGCAGGCGGAGAAGGAAACTGAGGCTGGGGAAGAGGAGACTGACCCAAGGCCTCTCAGTCTCTGAGACAACCCCCGGGATCCTGCTGCCAGTGTCCCCCTCCCCCAGCAGAGCCTGCCTGACATTCATTGCAGATACCTGACTGGCATGGTGGGGCTCCCAGTCTCCCCTGAACCCCAACACCATCTCCCATCTCCACTGTTCAGCCTCACACACACAGCCCAAAGAGTTGCACAGACCTTCTGTTCCAGCTAAACAGATTCCGGGTACTTCTCAGTCTCACTGCCACACCACTGGTCTGGACAGTCCTGCCTGAAAAACCGTCCCGTGTCCATTCTTATCCTAGGCCTAGCAGGTGCGGCAGGTGCGGATGCTGTGCGCTCTCCCTTCATCCTCCAACAAACCTCTGAGGAGGCGCTGTTGTTCCCCCGGGACGGAGAGAAGGAAGCCCAGGCTCAGAGAGATTACATGCCTTGCCTGCGGTCACACAGCGAGTAAAGCCTGGAATGGGAATTTGAATCGCCTTCCAGGGCTGAGTAAACCAGTAGGGGGCAGGCTTGGCAGAGGGACTTACAGGTGGGCGGGGAAGAGGGGAGGCGGCACAGGTGTCCTCGTCTCTCTCAAGAGCCCGGCGCAGGCGGCTCCCTGGTCCCTCAACTCTCTGCTGCCTGGACCCCCTTCCCAGACTCCCCAGCTCCCCCACCCCGGCTGCTGGTGAGTTACCCGTGAGCTCCCGCCCTCCTGCGCCGCCTCCTCCCACCAGCCCGACAGGAATAGACGCTCTCTAGCTGCTGCGTAAAGGCTCCGCCAGGCGCCCGCCGGGCGCGCAGACCCGCTGGGGGGCGGGGGCGGGGGCGGGGGCTATTCCTGGTGCGGCGACTGACGCAGGCACAGCGCGGCCACGGCATCTCCGCCCCCGACTCACCTGCTCCCAGCCTCAGTGATCTCGGAGGAGAAATGGGGGAGAGCCCACTGCCCCCACCCCCAAGCCCCAGATGCTGGCTAAGGAAGTCGGCGTCCGGGGGTGGGGCCTTCTGGGGCCCACCATTATCCCTCCGCGCCTTGAGGCAGCAGGGGTGACCAAAGAGCCTTGTCTGGAACTGACCCGCAGCCTTATTTTCTCCATTATACACGGTATCCGGGCCATTCCCCCTTGCCTGTCTCTCCAAAAGAAATAACTCCCTCTCTTACTTCACCAATGGAGACAATGGGGTGGGGGAGGAGATGGGGGAAGAACTCGGAGAAAAGGGTCCAGCCTGGGCCTGGTGGGAGTGCAGGCTGCTGGCCTTGTCACCCAAAGACCCCATAAAAGGGTGGGGAGGCCTGTCACTGGGTCCTCACCCAGTCAGATGTCTCTGCATGAGCTGTGGAACAGGCATCTCTCAGCTCCTGCTGGTGGGGTGGTACCCAGCAGAGCCCTCTCAGGGATCCCAGGGCCATGGAGAATGGGAAACATTGGAGTGGCCTGGCCCACGGCTTAACCGACACAACCAGGGGGATTATAGGCTGGAGCTACAGCTGAAGAATGTTCCCACACTTTTCAAGCCTTAGTCCTTGCTGATCCACCTGCTTGGTGTGCCCTCTGCCTGGTTTCCACCCGTGCTTCAAGACCAAACTGAGACCATTCTCATCTATTCCTGTCTCCCCTCCCCAAACTAAAATGGCCTTAGAAGCAAGGCCCCAGTCTCCTCTCTCTCTGTCCTCAGACTAGGAGCTCCCAGGAGCAGGCCTCAACCTACCTGTCTCACGGGTGGACACACAGCAGATCCTGGCTTCAGAGTGAAAATTCAGCAAGTCCCAATAAAGCAGGAACTGATGGCCAGAAGAAGCCAGCCTGCCATGGCCTGAGTGAGAACAGCAAAGCATAGAAACTGGAGCGGGTCTGCCAGAGGACTCTGAAGGAGGGGACAGGGCCCTCGAACCTTTACTCAGCCCCTACTGTAAGCCAGGCTCTGAGCTATACTTAACATACTTTGCCCTTCAAGACTGGTATTGCTATCCCTACTGTACAGATGAAAAACTGAGGCTCTGGGGAGGGCTGATGTCTTGCCCAAGTTCACTGTGTAAGAGGCAGAGCTGGGCTTTGAAGCTCAGTGTGTGTCTGATGTCACAGCCCAAGCGCTGCGCTCCCCCCCCCCCACTCTGGGCGGCTGAGGATGCAGGAAGAGGGGCCAGTCCCCCAGGGCTCAGGAAGGAATGGGTGGCACAGCCAGGTCTGCCTGTATGCCTTCTCCGTGCTGGTGCTGCCCACTTGCAGCCCAGCAGCCCGCGGGTTTTACGATGATGATGATTTCTGAAGCCACTTGAAATTAATGACAGCTCTAAAATGGCTGGGACAGTGGAGTCATTGCTGAGACCTCTAATTAGCAAGAAAAACAGAGACCAGGGGGCAGGGGGGTTTGGGGGGGCTGGGCAGGCAGCACAGGGCATGGAGCAGGGCTGGGGAGCAGGTTGGAGCCAGGATCTAGTAGGAGGTCCCTGTGGAGCTAGTGGACCCCGTGTCCCAATGTATACCACCAATTTGATTCTGAATGCTCTAAATAACTTGCTGTGTGACCTTGAGGGGCTGCCAATGCTCCCTGGGTGAAAGCTGCCCCAGTTAGGCAACGAGGAGATGGTAGGGGTGGGGAGGTGGTGTCTCTGTGGCCCCACCTAGGTAGTGGGGTGAATGGGATGTGGCCTCAAGAGGGGGCTCCTTCCAGAATTCTGAGTTCCTAGGAGGCTGGAGCCCAGGAGCTGGGGGCACTGCAGCCCCCCAGGAGTAGCAGAAGCCCCACATTCACCTCTGGCTATGGTAGCCCTCTATGCTGGGGTTGCTGAGGCCACGGGTATAATGAGGTCAGAAAGACTCGGCTAGAGTGAAGTGGATCAGGACGTGGCAGAAAGTCCACAGGTCAGGGCCCTGCACTGGTGCAGCTGTGGAGGGGACAGGAGATGGGGGCACCTGAAGGGGCTGGCAGAGAAGCCCCTCTAGGAGGTGGGCCTGGAGCTGTGGCCAGGGTTAGGACCTTCCTGCCCCCTCGGAAGCCCCTCCCTGAGCCAGATGCCAGAGTCCCAGTGAGGCATGTTACAGAGGGTCAGGCCCCGGAACCTGCAAGGGAAAAGACACTCATCCAGGTGCACCCTAGCTCCTGGCCTCCACGTCCTGCATGGGGCACCCAGCCCCAGGGAAGGGCACCGGGGCTCAGCTCAAAGGGACTCTGCACATAGCACATGTGGAGATGCACTGATCATAATGGAGGAACACCCACTGTGGCCAAGGCTGAGGCCAAGACCCCAAGGGCAGAGGTGCAGAAAGCCCCCATCGCTTCCTTGAGGTATCCTCTTCCCTGGCAGCCCCCCACCAAGCATGTCTTGTCACTGATAGCTTTCTCAGACTCTCGACCCATTTCCTCCCACCTTTCCCCTCTTCCCTTTCAATTCAGGGCTCTGTGTGGCCCTCTCCTTTCAGAAGCCTACTCTGAGCACCTCAGTCTCCTGCTCTGTATCCTTGGGTACCTCTCTGGGCCTCAGTTTCCTCCTTTGGAAGACAGAATATCAGTAGAATACATTTCATGGGGGATGGTGTGAGGATCTCGTGACTTAATATACATCCAGTACTTGATGCTGGGCCTGGCACACAGTGGGTGCTTGATAAATGGTTATTATACTGTTATGGTTGCTGTCTGTTCCCTGGCCCCCCAGCCCCTCCTCTGTAAATACAGGGGTTGACCCTAAGGTTCCTTTCAGCATTCCCACTAGGAGAAGCCTCGACCAAGTTCTTCATCCTCTGAGAATCAGGAACACCCTCAAGGCAGGGACTGATCTTGTGTCTCCTCCAGTTTCTGCAGAGAGCCCAGATTCCAGAGGGGCTGATGTGTGCAAATTAAACCCAACTGAAATCCACAAATCAGGAGGTACCAGTAGTTCCCTCCCCAGAGGAGGGGGGCGGGGCCGGGGCATGGGGACAGGGGCACTTGAGTCCTCAACTCTCACTTCCCCTTATCGTGGGGCCTTGGTCACTCACGCCTCCACTGGAAATGTCCCAGCATCCGTGACATTCACTTATCTAGCAGCAATGTAGGCAGCAGCCTCCACTACTTGGAATCACACTGAGAACTGGGGGAAACCAAAAGGCTCCTGGAGGACCCAGGGCAGGAGCCCTGCAGAGACATAAGTCCTGGGGAATGGCCCTTACTCAGCCTGGCCACACAGCCCTGTTGGGTTGGGTGCCAGGTTGCTGCATCCATAAGAGCTGAGAAGCAGGAAATTTGTCTGGGGCCAGTGAAGGGGCTTCTCAGCCCTGCCCACCCCAAAGTCCCTCCTGATGTTCCTGACCTTGCAGTTAAAAGACAAGAAGTGTTCACTCCATAAAAACAAAAAGATTCCCCCCCCAAATCACAAAAACACCCAAATGATTAAGTTGAGAACAAAAACAAAAAAAGCAAATATAAAAAGCAGTTTGTAAAAAGGGACCACTCTCTGGCTCTTTGGGAATCTGGGCTCCAGGCTTGGCAGAGCAGCTTCTCCTGAGAGCCTGGGCTCGGCTGTCCCCATGGATCATGTCAGGGGGCACTTGAGCTAATGTGTGCAAACAGGCAGCACTATTAGCAAATCCACTCATTAAGCGCTTGTCTTGAGTTCCATTGTGCAGCAGTCTTGTTTATTAACTTAAGTCGGAACCTGTTATTAAGTCAAAGCCAACGGGCAGCGGCTCAGAAGGTGTCTAGCCTTAGAGCCGAGCAGTCCTGAGTTCCAGTTCTGGCTCTATCTCTAACCGCTGTGTGACCCTAAGAAAGTCACTTCACCTCTCTGAGCCTCAGCTGTCCTGTGATAGGCAGCTCCCTAAGATGACTCCCAGTGGTCCCTACCTCTGGCATCTCCCCTACTGCATGCAATCCCCTCCCCTTGAGTGTGGGCTGGACTAATGGAGTCACTTCTAATGAAGAGATTCTAAGAGGGTATCCCTTCTGAGATTAGGTTACGAAGAGACTAGCTTTCATCTTGGGTACCCTCTCTCCATCACTTGCTTGTTCGCTATGACACATAGCAGATGCCATATTATTAGCTGCCCTGTTGAGAAGCCCACATGGAAGGGAACTGATGTCTAACCAGCACGCCCACGAAGCCCTGAGACCTACCAATACCCACAGGAGCAAACATGGACCCAGACCCTGCTCAATTCAAGCCTTGGATGACTGATGCTCTGGCTAACACCTTGACTGCAGCCTTGTGAGAGACCTGGAGCCTCCAGCTAAGGCCCCCCGCTGAGCATCACTTCGATTCCTGACCCACAGACCTGTAAGATAATACAAATTTGTTGTCTTAAGCCACTAAGTTTCAGGGTGATTTGTTATGCAGCCACAGATAACTAACTCATACACATTCCATCCGTGAGATGGGCAAAAGTGTCTTTCTCTCAATATGGCTGGGGGCATTGAGATAATGCAGGCAAAGTGCCTGTTGCTGGTCAGGGTGAGAAATGACATAGCAAGTTGGCAGTTATCAAGTAAAGTTGAAAAGATGCACACTCTATAGTATATACCCTGGAAGAACATTCACGGAAGACAAGTACAGGAATGTTCACAAGTGTACACAGAGTTTGTACCAGTGGGGAACTGGAAACACCCTACATGTGTATCTCTAAAACAGTGTCTAATCAGACAGTGGAATACTAAGCAGCCCTGAAGATGGACATACTGGAGCTCCACGCATCAGCTGGGTGATCTCACAAACACAAGGCCAAGAAAAAAAAAGCCAAAGATACGTATAAGATGGTACCACCTATATAAGGTTTAAAAGCAAGTCCCAAACCTTATAAATTGTGTATAGATACCCATATATATAGGCAAAGTCTAAAAACATGCGTAAGAATGACCTATACTGGTTCCAGGGGAGTGCTCCCACTGGAGGGAGAGGGAGGGGGAGTGGTAGAGGCAGGCCCCCCCACAACCCCACACTCTGAGGTGCTCACCGTGAGCAGGCTTGGTGGTCCTAAGCAACACATTTTATCCTCTCAAAAGTCCCATGGGTCTATTCTATTATTCTCTCTTCTTATAGAGGAGGACTTTGAGGCACAGCGTCTCCAGGGAGACCTTCCCAGGCCTTCGAGTCCAGTGGGAGGCCAGGGCTTGGTTCCTCACTCTGCCATCCCCTTGGGGGAGGAGGTCTCATTACCTCCCCGGCCCCCGTCTATTCTTCTGTAGCACGGGAGAGACTGGTCCTCTTCCCCCTTCCTGGGTGTGGATTGAGGTGCCGGGAGTCTTGATTCATCAATCTGGAATATTTACAGGGCCAAGCCTAGGGCCACACGGAGGTGTGGACAAGAGAAGGTGTGAATAAGAGGATTCAATTCAACACAATTCAGTTCATCGACTCATTCCCCAGGCAGACAATGGTCGAGGTTGAGGAGTATTGTTTGAGCGCTTATGACACACCTGGCTTTGCATTTGGTGCTTTTATAAATCATGTCACATAAGCCTCAACCCCACCCGGCAAAGTAGGGACAGTTATTATCTCCATGTGCCCCCTTCCATGTCCAATGTGGCCAATGAACAAATGAACAGCAACTTCCCCAGGTCACACAGCAGAGCTGAGATGATCACAGTTGGCCCTCCTTCCATCCTGACCTGCCCTCTGTTTGGTGCTGGGGGCAGAGATGGAGGGCCCAGGCTTTGCTGTCCTTTGGGGAATTCCAACCCAGCCGAGGAGGATCTGGAGGAGTTTCAAGGAGAAGGTGTGTGATGGGAGCGACCAAGACGGGTTCCCTGGAGGGGAAGGGGCAGGTGTTTCAGTGGGCTCACTGGTGGTGAGGGAGGCGGGGGATCCATCCATCCATCTACCCATCCATTCACTCCTTCACTCAACAAACGTTCGATATAGCTTTCTCCGTGCCCCCAAAGAGCCCACGGTCTAGCGTGCAAGACTTAATGCAGTGTGATGCAGGTGGAGAAGAGGAGAGTGTGGGGAGATGCACACACACAGGAGTCAGGATGGATCACTGGGAGGTGGTGGAGGCTGAGCTGAAATCCAGACGCTAAGTAGGAGTCAACCAGCTGTACGGAGGGTGGGGGATGGTGTCCAAGCAGAGAGAACGGCAGGTGCAGAGGCCTGACCCCGGGATGGTGGGGATAGACAGCTGGCCCTCGGGAAGGCCAGAGCTGGCCCAAGTGGTTCCAGCTTCCCCAAGAGGGGGTGTGGAGCTGAGGCTGCCACAATCTGTCTCCAGGTACGGTGCCTGCCTGCTGCATCCTCCAGCCAGCTGGACCCCCGTGCCGGCTCAGCCCTGTTGGGCAGGCCGGGCCCTGCTCCAGAGGGACTAAGAGCAGGGGAGTTCAAACCGTCACGATGCATGTAATTATGTGCAAAAATGAAGGCTAGCTCCTTAATAACTGATGGTGGGAGAGAGTAAACATCAGCAGAGGCACCCGGCTGCATCGCCCCGTCCCGTCTGGCTGGGACCCAGGGCGGCCGCCTGGCCACTAATATGCCCATAAATTACTGAAGTTATAAAAAAGAAAGCAGGTGTCATGTCGCACCCATAAACAGCTTGTTAGCTGAGACTAACAAAGGGGCGGCTGGCCGCCAGGCAAGGCATGGACTCCCCAACACCCTGCCTGCTTGCAGAGGGAGATGGATGAGGGTGGGTGAGATGAGGGCCTGAGAGGCTGGCTGGCCCCGCTCCCTGCCCCCTCCCTCCTCCTGACCCCCTGGGGAGTCAGGCAGTACTGAGCAGATCCACTGACTCAAAGAGCCAGCACCGGACCCGTGAGCTCTCCCTCACTGCGGTGTGCACGCAGACGCCTGACAAACCAGCATGGAGAGCACTAGGGAGCCCAGAGAGCTCTGAGGCTGGGGCTGCGGAGAACCGGGGACTGGGCCCAGATACACATGGTATGCATCCCAGGGAAGCCACTTGCTGCTTGTGACCTTGAGCAAGTCACCTACCTTCTCTGAACCGCTCTCCGTTCATGCCACCTGGGGATAGTCGTGCCTACCCTGGGAGATTAGGAGGAGGGTCCCAGGACAATTTGTTTGTGATAGGTGCATAGGGCACTCCCTTGTCCCCCTAATCTCATAGGAGCTCCTAATTAGATCAGGCCTAAGGAGGCTTCCCTCTGCTAGGCTCTCTTTCTGCTCCATTAAGGCCTGCGTCCAGGATATTAGTAGAAGGCGGCGGTGGGGGGGACTGAGAAGGAGAAAGGTGCCCAGCTGCCAGGGCTTGGCCCACCCCAGGCTCCACCACACACAGGACATCCCCACCCCCCAGGGAGCAGAGAAGGAAGATGGAGGCAGGGCTCCGGAGGCAGAGCTGCCAACAGAGAGAGGCCTCACCGGGCATGGGCAGGGAGAGAAGGGGTGGATGGGAATGCTGGGATTTTGGATCCTCAGTGATGAAGAGCCTGGCACCCCACTCTCTCTCAGGCTGAGGGTCTTCAGTCCCTGGGATACTTCCTTCAGGGAAGTGGAACCAGGCAGCCAGATTTGGGCACTTGGGCACCCCTGGCGTGCTCAGCTCTGCTGAAGGCCACACAGGGCAAAGGGGGGGCAGTCCAGGCCTAGGAAGTCACCCCTCTCCCCAGCCTGGCCCTAAAGGGGCAGCCAGTTCACACATAACCTGCTGGAGGCCACACAGGGAGCAGGGCTGGGCACATCACCTGGGCTTTGGGTGGCCAACAGGCTCCTCTCTCTAGTCCTGAACTGTCCCCCACTAGTACATTAGTTCTGGAAGTGGTTTCCTGCTCCCAGAGGAAAGAAGGGAATCCTGAAAGTTCTTGTCAGCTACACTCTGGGCTGGGTCTCTCCTCTGGGGGGTCCTCCCTGCACCCCTTATCTTGTGCAGCCTTGGTCTGTCCCATGGCAGCCTGTTTTGCACATGGACGAAGAGGCCTCCTAGCTGTCAGAGGCCACACAAGTCAGTGCCGGAGCCTGCAGCCTCGGCCTCCTGCCTCGCCCCACATCAGTTGGACTCCGTCCCAGGAGGAGGTGGGGAGATTCTCACGCTCACGCTCACGCTCCATGCTCGGCGTTATGTTGTGACAACTGGGACAAGCGCTCTGACAGCCACTGTTGTGTGGCATTCCCAGGAGCTCTCTTCCTGCCCAAGAATTCCTGGTCCTTGGCACCTGCCTGCCCATCACCTGCCCGCTGGGGTAGGGCCAGCTGGGGCAAGTGCCTGTAGTAGCAGCCAGATGGCCTGGGCAGGGAGGGATGGCTCTTGGGACTGGGTGCTCACTCAGAGCCCTAAGGATACCTCCCTCCTCCGAGAGGGGACCTCGTTGGCCCGGGATTACATAGGTCATTTGTGGGGGGAAACCCAATACGTCTGTCAGGTTTCCAAGACTGCACCAAACTGAATGGCTGCAGGGGTACAGGGGGGCAGAGAGCACACAGAAGGTGCAGGGATAAGGCCATCAGGTGCTACAAGGACCCGAGCAGGAGGTGTACTTTTGGGGATGGACTGGTCAGGTCAGGCCACAGCCCCTTGTGGCCCCCAGAATTCAGCATCAGCCCCTCTCTGACCCCTTGAGGGTCTACCCCTTCCTGTCTCTGTCTCTCCCTCCATCTCTCGGGCTGACTTTCCTTCACTCAGAGGGTCAGGGGAGAGAAGGCAAGCTGCACCCCGGGACAGGTAGCAGGTGACCCTAACCAGGCCCCCTGGATGGTGCTGGAAGCTGAGAGGGAAGGGGGAACAGGAAGGCTGCCTGCGCTGGACCAGGTGGGAGAGCAGGGCTGTCCAGGGGTTCAGGGGAGAACCAGGAGGACAACCTCAAAGACGGGAAGGGTCACATCTTGATAAGGACTGCCGGAACTATCAGCCGTGGTCAGGTTACACGGAGGTGTGAGAGGCTCACGGGGGCGTGTAGAAGGGGGGTACGCAGAGAGGAAAGCCCAGGAGCCTCGGGGCCCCGGGGCTTCTGTGGGGCCTCTTCTGGCTGTGTGGACTGCACTGTCTTTCCTGCCATTCTTGGGCGTGCCACCCTGCCAGTCACAGTATAGGGGCAGGGAGGGGAAGTACTGAAGACGGCCCCCCCAAGCACCATGGTCTGGGGTTTGTACCCCGTGAGGAGCCACAGCACTGGCCCAGAGGCAGCAGGCCGAGGGAAAAATCTCAGGCAGTGACTTGGGAGACAGGGGTGTCTTTCCTGAGAGCCTAGTGCCACCCCCAGGCTGGATACCCAGGATTTTGCCCTCCCACTTCATCTCCCTCTAGTATGGGGCTGGGTGGGGGGATGATATCTGCAAACAGGGAAATGAGTGAATGTGATACACGGGAGAATATTAT